TGCAGAAACAGTGGACAATCGGCCCTACCATTGCCCAAAACCTCATAAGTGATGTCAAGGACAAGTAGCGGGCATTCGGCTATTGAGCGGAGATCCAATAGAGCAATGAAGTAAGAAACATAACCACACTTTTGTAGTTTTTTCCCTGAAAGTTTGAAGAAAATTCGACTTAAAATGAATTTTTGGCGACCATTTTTTTTTTTTCAAATATTTACAGTCGTTAGTTTGATTCTCCAAGACACATTCTTGAAAATCCACCCAAGTAAAAATTCAAGCTGAACAGTTAGAACAGAAGCTGATTATTGATTGATTTACGGTGTACAAAGCTTATTAACACCAGCCTTATATATAGTTGTTTAGTGGTACATAAGGCGAATTGTATCTCCATAATTCAACATCAATAAGCTAACTGAACTAAATACTGAACAAGACTTATTTAAGCTTAATACTACTCCACAAATCAGCAATGCGCTACAAATATTTGGATGGCCTGATAGAAGAATTTGAATATATTGCACAATATTGTTCAATATTGTCAGTGCTACGCGTTGCATTTCCGACGTTTAAGTTCTTCTTAATTCACTGTGCCTACCTTACTAATTCCAAGCAGCACCAGCAGTACAGATAAGGAAGATCGAGGAGCTTTTGAGAAATATCTTCAGGTAGAAGTGGTCTGCAACGACGTATTCCTATGTTTTGACTTGGTTATTTACACTCACTGCACTGAATTTTCAGACCACATTCCAAAAATATAATCAAATTATGGCACTTAATCAGCACCCAAGCGATCATCGAACTAAATCGCGCACTTTTTTACTGCACTTGAAATTGCGAGGAAAGTTTAACGGTCATATTTTGTTGTTTACAATTTTGCATTGCTGTATAGTACTCTTCAGGTTGCTATTATTCAACTTAAATTTGACATCCTTAACGATCATACCTTTTGACACAAGCAGGTATGGTAGAAGTTTTATGAAGTTCCCAGAAGTTAAAGAAAAAATCTTGGGCTAATAGCCATTTGTATTTGTCAGTCAAAATTGGATTCCTTAGCAAAAAAAAACAAGACATGACACCGATAATGACCATGCATCAGAACCCTAGTCTTAACCACTTCAAACTAGGAAACAACGAATAGAAGATTAGGAATCACATAGGTGAAGACTAACTAACTCATTTTTTCCTTGTTTCAAGATCATCCTCGGTCCACGCAACCCGAGGACTTATCACTATCAACAAGGCATAAAAAGTAACAAAGACTAAGATGTGTTCCTTTGATTACTGTAAAATCCTGTTCCCCTAGTTTGAAATAGTCAAGACTAGGAATCGGTGGTAGATCTTACATCCCGTAACGTACCACGAAAAGGTGATCTACCCACGTTACGGGGATATGGCACCGCTTAGATTTCGATGTAATAAAGTTTCTCAAAAAATTTTCGTTTAGTAAAGGACTTTATAAAATCTTTGTTTGTGGTCCAATTTTATTAATCGCTGTTAAATAGTAACATCGAACTTGACAAACTTGAAAAACTAGCGGTGAGTCAAAAAAAAAAACACCAAAAATTCTGGGAAGAAGGGGGTTCTAGAAAATTCTGGAGGGAGCCTGACTCCCCTGTGCACCCCCATTAGCTACGCCAATGATTTCCGAGTCAGTAAAGGCACGGTATTACCAAGCCGGTGGCGGCGAGTTCGATTATCGGTGTCTGGTCAAGGAATTCTTTTGGTTGTAAAGTTTCATGAACATATAGGGTATCATTGTGCTTACCAAAATCTGTCTTGAAATAAATTTAATCACACGATATGAAAATCAATATGATGAATATGGTGATCATATTTATTGCTAAAAATACTTTGATCATTTGCGGATTTGTTCCGGACGCCCTAGAGAAGGTGGGATAATAATCTGTTTTAATCGAATCCTTAAATTTGACAATATGAATATTTATGTAAATCAAATTTGACAGCACTAAGGTAAAATACTCTCATAACAATTATAAAATATGTAGCGGTCTTCGATGATTTTTTGACGTAGGACTACGTCTGTGAATTCTATATTGGGGTACACTTTGTGATAACCGAAAATGGAACATGTAACAAAATTATGAAAGATTTTGAATGTTAATAACTCAGCTGCCCCTGAATCAATTTCAATAATTTTATCACCAATCGATCAGAAATATTCCTACGCATCTGTTAAAGTAAAGTTTATCATTTTTCATTATGTCACTCTTGTGCAACTGTTGCTATGATAATTAAAATTATCACTGATTGCCTGCGAAAGCGATTACCTTAACACAGATTTCAAAGTTGAATTTCATCCGGTCTCACCAAACAGTGATTATTCAATCACCGCGTGTTGAGTGGTGGTGTTCTCCAGTACACAAGGAAAGGCTGCTTGCAAGCAGTAACCTGCAGTCCACATGAGCATCCATAGAAGGAGGAAGAAGCCCCTAGTAGCACGTTTGTCACAAATCGATTGTTGAAACTTATATACGACTTATTTCAATCATAAACAAGTTGCTGTATCTAATTGTGATGAAAATGTGCTACTCGGGGCCGCACCACCATTGATCGGCATCAGTAGCTCTTCGTGAGTCGCTGTGGGCCATCTATGCCAAGCGTGTCACCCTCATTGCAAACAACATACAGCTCACCAGCCTCATTTGTGTTTAACACCCTTATAGCTCAGCATTACTCAACCATAACGACAAAACGGTCCTTTTCAGAGACCACCATAAATTTGTAAAACAGTATTGTTTTAACATGTTTCAAGGTCATAAATCGGATGTCAGTTTCCATTTCAAGATATTAGGCTGGAATTAAGACGCAACAGCTTTTGTAAACAATGACTTCTTTCGATGATGTCTTGAAAGTCAAGACTCGCTCACACAAATCAACATCAGCATCAGGTAGGGTAAGACTTCCTAAAAATCATCGAGAGAAGTCATTGTTGAAAATTGCACGAATGTGTAACTGTTACTATGCACAGAAGGAGTAAGTCGCTGTGGGCCATCTATGTCAGTGTGTCATACTAAAGAGTATAAACAGAGAGAACCCCGCTCAAATTCCTATGCCTACACGAAACACAAGCTCCTGCTGCACTTAACAAACAAGCGTAGCCCTACGTCACCATTGCGTACAACGTCATAGGGCTGTCCTTTGTAGTTTTTATATTAAAAATAGCAGGCTGAACAAGGCTGAAAAAATACTGTTATTTAATACTTTAAACAGCTTAAAATTTATGTTACTATCAAGCTTTCGGCTGATTAAAATCATCAGATTAAGATGTTCAAAAGCTGCACAAAGGTTAACGTGGTATATATATTTTTTAATAATTCGTTTATTCTTTCAGGCTCATTTGATGTAGCTTTACGGAGCCGATATTCATTGTATAGATAGCAAAATTACTTAAAACTAAAAACGTTAGTAAAGCGGGGGCCGATTATTCGCGGTTATATCGAGGTTAGGGGTAACAAATTGTAACAAATGGATGGCAGGGTAGAGATTGTGAACACAAGGAGTTTAGAGAGCAATGTGCTCTTGATCTCGAACTAGGCGACACTCTGATGAAAAAGACAAACATGGGGGTACACCGAAACGTGGTATATGTACAACAATTATTCAAACTAAGGCTTATTTAAAATCTTTGAAAGAACACTTGTTAAGTATCAAATTGTTACCTGGGCATATTTTCAGGGAGAAAACTACTTGAATCACTGATTTGGGCCTCATGAAATATTTTGCTTAGGGCCTTGAAGATTTGCATAAAAAAATTGTTTTGTGGACGGTTCTCTCTTAATTTTCTTTTTTTGAGCTTAGACTTCACTGTTGCAACATCGATGCACTTTTAATCATGTTTTCCCTTATCTCTTATCGGTGCCTCATCAGCTGATTGGATTATGACAAAAGCAAGGCTAAGCAAAAATCCGCACCAACTCTCGGCTAGAAAACGGCAGTGCAATCAGCAAATCTATTTTCAAATCGCATTAATTTTCTAATTTAAAGCTACCAGCAACCAGACCAGGGCGTCCTGTGCCTTTCCTTTCGTTATCAATTTTGGTTTCGTACCACATGTGAACGCTCGTAAAGACACACATTCCCATTCAAATCTGGAACTCCAACGCGCTATCAGTAGTCTTGTCTTTCTTATCTGTGCCAGGGAGAAGTTGTGCAAACGTTGTACATATATAGTTTACCTGCCACGTTCGTCGTTGAGTTTGCCCAGCTGTCACTTTTGGGCAAATACAATGAGGTTGTTCAAATTGTTCTCCCATAGTGGGATATTGCTCAATCGATAGAATGCGTACGGAACTTAAATTTTCATTTTCAAAAAAATTAATAAAATAATGTATAATCCGTGCATACAGGCGAACGAGAATTTCTTAGACAAACCGTACCGATTGCAAACATTTACCTTTCAGTGTTGTGTCTCGGTGGGACTTATTTTCGCGACAAACAACCGATAAAGCCAGCGCCAACGCCAATCGAATTTCTCGACCCGCAATGGTTCTGAAGATGCCGCCTTCTGTAATTTGATATTTGTTGTTTAATAACACTCGATATGGGGACGACTGTCGCCAGGAAGGCTGTTTGCAATCGAAAAGATTGAACCAATTTAATTTCCTGAATACAGTTGAACAAATTATGGTGGTTCGTAAACGTTGATATGGCGATGATCTGTAACAGCTGATTTGAAAGCTTCTTACAACGTGACAATTCCTCTCAGTACGACCGCTCATTTGATCCGACAAGCAACTGGAAACAATTGGCCACTTCATTGCTGACAATTTTACCTCTCAACGAGTAACAATTTTACTAAGGTCACGGTCACCGCGTATTCTCAACTGAACTGGACATTGGCAATGAAATCTCCCGCCGCCGTCTCGGTTGTTTATGATAGCTGTATGAATATTGTCGTGACCGTGATGATTTTTAATACGTCGCTCTGCCAGCAACTGATATGCATCTCACTCTTTCTCTGTTTTTTGTTCGTCTCATTTCAGATTAATCGAACGTTGGAGTGTGCGACTTTATCATCTTCGAACCCGTTCACCGCGATCTCCGGTATGAGAGACGTTTTATGCAAACTCTTGACTAAATAATATCATCGACTAACCCCACATCCGAGACAATACCTACCAGCAGCAGCAAATTGTTCACGTTTCTCAGCTCGACCCGAAGATCCGCCCGGCAATGATCAAGTTCCGTCGCTCAAATGACCGATCATTAAAGCAACACTTTTTCATACTGTTGCCATTGCGGCCGTGTGTGCGCTTCTCTGCTTGCGAGTAGCCGCTTGATTACCGGCCTGGCGCTAGCTACATTATGCAACATGAACGACGTTAGATTACGGGATGTTTCAAAACAAAACACCATTAGATCTTTTCGCAGAACGTCCCACTGGGCTAGAATCGTCAAACAAGTTACGGTACGGTTCCGAATGGGTAGTAATTAAACGAACAACGCCAGCTCCTTAGCGCGAAGCCGCTCATCAGAGGAAACGAAACCGAAAACAACAACCAAGTCGGTGGACGTCGTCGGCTTGGTAAGACATCGGCAAATAGATTGTCGAACGATCGCTACGATTTTCAACCGAATGATCGCGTACTAATCGCGGAAGAGGTTTATCTACCTACAGAGTTTTATATTTTTTTGCTCGTATTATTTTTGGCGATTCGACGAAATGATGCAAGTATTGGTTCAGGTTTACTGTCGATGATGACGGCAACAAGAAATGATAGTGTACGGAACACGCGTTTAGGTGTTCTTTTTCGTCATGAGTCAGCGTAGGTTAGAGAAAAATTCACGTCTGCTAACAAGTGGATGAGAGTCTTCGATCAATGGTGGCGGTTGGGCTAGGGTGGTTGTTTGAAAATCACTTCTGCGGAGTGTAAATATTTTGATTGTTGATTATTTTTTATGACTCTTTTTTTTCTGGGGAACGTGTGTTTTTCAATCTAGAATTGTAAATTTGAGTCAATAAGCATAAGGTTCTAGGAATATTTGCTTTTCAAACCAATACTTCTTTTAAACATAAACATTTGGAAAAAAAGAGCTGCCTCAGTAACAAAATGCGAGGATAAATTCGATTCAATTATAATATACGATGATCTTCAGCTCTTGATCCGTCTTGAAAATGTCCGTAGAAGGCAATATCAAAGAACACGCAATTCTGCCATGTAAGTTATCTGGCGGGATTTTCAAAATCAGATTAAAAGCGATTTTCTGCTTTGAGGAACAAAAAGTTTAAAAATCATGTTTCGAAATTAGACCCGAGTTCCAAACACAAGTCTATAACAAAAAGTTGTAAAATATGAATGCTCCAGTTGATGATGGAATTTTCTATATCCATATCAAAAAAACTCCCAGAGAGTACCTTGTCTTTCATGGTAAAATTATTTAACAGATGTTTCCATTTGGCATACTTTCCTGATAAATGAAAAAAATGCAAAATTTGTTCCAATTTTGAAGCCGGATAAAAATCCAGCTGAAGCTTCTAGCTACCGTCCAAAAGATTTGCTTTCATTAATAAGTAAGCTTTTTGAAAAGATAATTTTGAATCGAATGATGTTTCACATCAATACGAACTCGATTTTCGCAGATGAACAATTTGGATTTTGCCATGGGCATTCACCTACTCATCAACTTTTAAGAGCTATCAATTTAATTCGTTCAAACAAATCTGAAGGCTGCTCAACTGGAGTTACTCTTCTAGGCATAGAAAAAGCATTCGACAGTATTTGGCATGAAGGTTTGATTTCTAAATTGAAAAAGCTTAATTTTCCACTCTATATTATGAAATTAGTTCAAAATTATTAAACTAACAGAACTCTGCAGGTAAATTATCAAAATTACAAATCCGAACCTGTTAGAGCCGGAGTTCCTCAGGGTAGCCTTTGTGGGCCTATATTATACAATATTTTTACTTCGGACCTTCCTGATTTACCTCAGGTTTGCCACAAATCTTTGTTCGCTAATGACACAGGCATTTCTGCTAAAGGAAGAAGTCTTCGTGTTATTTGCAGCAGACTGCAGAAAAGATTAGCTATGTTCTCTTCTTTACAAAAATGGAAGATTCCTCTCAACGCTCCCAAATCTAGTTGTTGTCACAAGTAACTTTGAATGGAGCTTCAATTTCTTAGTCAAGTCAAGTGTATTATCTTGGATTAGTACTTGACCAGAAATTAACTTTCAAAGATCACATTGAGGGCATTCAAGCCAAATGTAACAAATATATAAAATGTTTCTATCCTCATAAAAACAGGTAATCCAAACTTTGGCAGACGAATAATCTTCGAATATTTAAACTAGTTTTTAGACCGGCCATGCTTTACACTGTGCCAACATGGTCTAGTTGTTGCACTACCAGGAAAAAAAAGCACTTCAAAGGATTCAGAACAATGTTCTGAAGATGATTTTGAAGTTGCCTCCCTGGTACAGTACTACCGAGCAGGCTTGCTTCCACTCACTTGCTATAAAAACATGATTTTCTGAATTTTGAAATCATTAGATGTTATAATCATATTTTGTACTTGTTAGATACAAGAAGAGGTTGAAAGGCAAGTGTTTGACACATTAAACCTGTCAAATTCGCTTTCAGATAGTCACAATCAGCGATTTTACGACTCACGAGCGCTCACTCTGAGTGAACGGTCACGAATCATAAAATCGCTTATTGTAACACTCTGGTAGCTAAATTGACAGGTTTTATGAGTCAAACACTTGCCTTTTATCCACATCTTGTAACAAACAAGTACAACATATTATTATAACATCGAATGATTTCAAATCATTTTTTATAGCAAGTGAGTGGAAGCAACCCTGCTACCGAGGTACATAGCATTTCCAATTAATTAATGAATTCAGGCAAAAATCGTTGCAATCCTCAATTATATAAGTTACAACCCCATGGTTTTGTGATGCGTTTTTAAAAAAGGAACTAACTAGATGTTACCTCTTCCAAGTGACATCAATAATGAATTGAATTTTCTTGGCCAGAAGTAACAGTGAGCTTCACTGGAGAAACTGCTATGTGGAGAAATAGAATCGCCGTCCGGCCCGTCGTTCAGTCACATGTTGCTGATGAAGTGTGTTGCAGATTGTTTGGTTTGTTATACTGCTGCTAGTTGTTGTTGATGAAAGATTTTGATTTGATTGATTGATCCTTGTGTATGCAATTCGAATCGTTTCTGGAACACTGCGTTATACTTAGATAAGATTTAGTTTTAGTTTTTAGTTTTAAGATGTCAATTGTTGTACTGACATGCAGGTATAGAAAACCTGTTTAAAATTCTGAATTGCCAAGGCAGGAACAATGCAAAAACACTTAGATATATATTTATGTGAAGTTCATAACAATTGAGTTTTTAAAATACTAGTATTCTCTTTGCACTAGATTTATTTAGAAGTTCACTTCAAAACACTTTGATTAAGACTAAATTCTACTGTCAATTTCCTAACTATCGCTACCTGGAGTGAGCCTAACTAACATGTGCGGTTCTCAGCTTTTACCGTTGGGACTGTCCACGCGCTGGCGGTTGCTACAAAAAAAAAAATGGTCGCCTTGAAGTAAAGCAGAAAAAATAGCACTAGCAAGGTCAAATTACGAGCTAGATCAAAAGTGTCTTCATAAAAGTAGGTTGAATATGTTTGATGTGCACTGCGGTTTAGGGGAAGGTACAGGGAGAATATCTAAAATCTAAAATTGTGACCGTCTCAAAAACGTGTTAGGTTTTGACCGCTTATAACTTTGTGATTTAAAGATCAAACTTAAATCCAAGTACAGCAATCGATAGAAAATAACTCTACGAATCTGTTGAATTACATACTTTTTTATTCTTCAACTTAGTTGAAGAATGTATGCATCTCTAACTAAAAACGAAAAAAAAAAACTTAGACTACTGATTAAAATTGAAATGATGATCGCCCATTTAAAGTCAATAACTGCAGACCCGTTTAAAAGCTAATAACTCCAACAAAGACATTTATCTCCTAAAATGATTAGACACGGAGTAAATATAGTGCAGTGTAGATGTAGATGCACATATTTGAAAAATATCAATACGAAAACCTTGGGAGCAGGGTTGCTTCCACTCGCTTGCTATGAAAAACTGTTATTCGAATTATGAAATCATAAGATGTAATAATGATATGTTGTACTTGTAAGTTACAAGTACAACATATCATTAAAATATCTAATGATTTAGTAATTACGAAAAACAGATTTTTATAGCAAGTGAGTGGAAGCAACCCTGCCCAAGTTTCCAAAAGTTCCGCATCCAACGATTAAAATCACTTCCAAGTTTCATAAAGTTCAAATAAAGTTCCGACCGAACTTTCAAGTACCATAAAGTTCAAATAAAGCTCCGACAGAGCTTTCAAGTAACATAAAGTTCAAATAAAGTTCCATAAAGTTCAGACAGAACTTTCAAGCCACATGAAGCAATTGTGAACAGAATTCTACCCGCTCTAATTCGTGATGCATAAGAGATACAGATTTGAGTTATGAACAAAAGTTGTAGCTAATAACAAAACATACTAAAGCTCTATACATCATTTTGCGAAATGCTGTTGATGAGAAAAGTTAGAGGCAAATGAATGTAAATGAATACAGGAAATGAATGTGAATGATTTTCCATGCCTGGTGTAGAGGACAAAAACTTTTTTTTTATTTATTTTCTAACAGTTCCGTTAAAGTTCCACCAGAAGCTGCTTAGAATGCTCTTCAATTATGGTACCGGAACTTTCAAGTTCATATAACGACCTAAAAATGAGGCTGCTTAGAATTCTATAGACCACCTTCAACCAAGCTGCTTAAGTCACAAATAGCCTTTTATCAGAACTTTTGGTTACTTGGGTGGTTTGGAGGCCCCGCATTAAAAAAAATAGACCAGGGCTCCCATGGGTGATAATGACGGCCCTGCTGTGCATTAAGTTTCTTACTCACTGATCGTGTGATTTTTTTTTGTGACTAAGACTATAAGGCTATGAGCTTGTTGCTGCTTTCATATCGGTGAATGATTAAAGGGTTATACGGTCAAAATTTGGTCAATATCAACTTGACGGATTTCTTTCAATTTTGCATTTAAAAAACCTGAACACCCCTCATTTTGAAGGTGTGTGTGTGTAGAATGTTGCTCCTATTTTGATTTTGGAATTCACTCTTCAGTTGTCAAAATGCCGTCCAAGCAAGAAGAGCAGCGTATCAAAATTTTGCTCGCGCATCGCGAAAATCCGAGCTACTCGCACGCAAAGTTGGCAA